AAAAATTAGAATAAATTTAACCTTTAAGATCTTGTATCTTAATGGCAAAAAAAAAATTAACTGAGCTACAGCTTGGTAGAATTCTTTATGATCGTAGCTGTGGTGATTCTTATACAACAATTGCAAAAAATGTTAAGTGTGGTAAGACTACTGTCCATGATGTTCTGAAATGATATGATAAAACAGGATCTGCTATAGCAAAAAAACGGTCAGGCCACAAGCCCATCTTTGGTACATTGGAACTAGATAAACTTAAAAGAATGGTTATACAGAATACTAAACATCATTATTTAAGCACCCAAGAAATTAAAGATTTATGGAATAAAGAAAAAAATTAATCAGTTTCTATTGTTACAATCTGTCGTGTCTTAAAAAAAGCTGGACTTCATTCATGTATTGCATGCCATAAGCTGTTAATTTCTAAAAAAAATAAAGATGAATGAAAAATTGGTCAAAAAACCATTTAGATTGGAATCACAAATGGTGTAACATTGTTTGGTTAGATGAGTTCATGTTTAGGCAGTTTTCAGCAAGTCACAATATACGAGTTTGGCGCACTTCTGCTGAAGAGTTTGATGAATCATGTTTTGTTCCTACCATGGGTCAAAGCCCTGGTCTTATGTTCTGGGCTTGCTTTTCATGACATGGATTAGGACTGATAGTCCCTATCTATGGCAAAGTAAATGGTGAAGTTTATGTTAAACTTATAAGAAGACATGCTCTTCGTGCTGTACGTCGACTTGTTTCTAATAGTCAAGATATTTTTCAGCAAGATAATGCTACCCCCCATAAATATTGGAAAGTTAAAGCTGCTTTTAGCCAGGCTGGTATTCCCATCCTACCTTGGCCTGCCCAAAGCCCTGATTTGAATCCAATAAAAAACATGTGGCAAGAAGTTGAAAGATGTTTGCAAAATTCTCTAGATAAGCCTACAAGTATTGATGACTTAGAAAAAAAAGTCATAGCAGCTTGGTATTCAATTCTATGCAAATTTTATTGTAGATTGGTGAATAGTATAGTTCATCGAGTAAGAGAATGTTATCATGTTAAGGGTCGCTTACTTAAATATTAATTAATTTCATTCTGCAGTTAGTAACAATATTAAAATTATAGTTTATTCTATTATAGTATGTGCAATATGTATTCATTTACAATACTTATTAAGTAAATGTTCATTTGTAGTAGAAATGGCCCCAAAATCAAAAATAAGATTTAATAAGATACAAGTAAATCCCGATCTGAAAATTGATTGCATAAAAAATCTTAGAAGTTGTACATTACAAAATAAAATTAGTTATTTCAAAATCATATTTTTTTGAGCTCTTTTTAATTTCATTTTTTTTTTTAATGATTTTGATAATATGCTAAGTGTAATGGCAATATATAAATAGTTTCTTTTGTGAGATAAAATCATGGGTAGTCTAGTTTATTTTTGTTATCACTTATAATTATATAATTTTGATTACGTATTTTATGCTGCTGGTTAGCACTTAGTAGGGACATGAAATTATGTGATTTGTTTTAGTGCAATTCTTGACAAACCATACTAAATCGCATAATTACATATTAATTTTTGTGTAACTGATAACTCTCAATGAACCCAAATCACATCAAATTATGCTAAGTTACAAATTCCGTGTCCTTGGCATTTAGGTATATATATACTCATATGATAGATAAAAAAAGATGTAATGAAATTAGAAGTTGTATTACATGAATATGCTAAATAATAAGCATGGCATAGCAAGAAATATTCTCAGCTAATCAGATTCAAGATTTTATTAATGGTTTAGACACTTGGTTTCACTACATTTCTGGCATACCAAATCACAAAATATCAAAAATTACACTACTTTTTTAGATTCTTACTTTTATGACACATCCAACTTTA